GAGTTGTGGTATTATTCTTCATTCTAGAAGAGGACCCAGGACATCACGAGGGTGATATCTTGACTTGTGAGTGAACTGGATTTAAGTGAGTCAGAGCTTCAAAAAGACATCAGCCTTATTCTCTCCTCCAGAGTAGTAGGAGTCAAGCGGCAAGACAAAAGTCAAGACTGGCATTAACTGTCCAAATAATTATATTTGCAAATCACGTTAACTTACAACCATCCAAAGAGAAAGAAAATCAGTTTCCCTTATGCATATTTCATTATCATAAATAGTCACAAATTAAAGGAAGATTCCAGTGAAAGGACCACAAAACACTTTTTTCTGCTGCTTTCTGGACAAAATTCACTAACAACAAATTTTAATGCTACTTTTGTTAACCTTATATACTGGGTTAGAATCTGGCTCAACCTCTTACATTTCACATTCTTGATTTTAGGAGTGTTTCTATGTAGATTTAAATTTTTGTTTAATTTAATTTAATTTAATTGCTTTGATTGCTAATAAAGTACTAAATAAAAAAAAATTCAAATTTTTGAAAAGGTTAAGAATATTTCCAAAGCTGGAAGAAATCTTCTTTTGGAACAATATGCACCTGCAATATTTTGTTTCTCACTTGCAGAAAATGAGAAATAAGCTGACAGCCTAAATAAAGAAGTGAAATTCACTGTAAGAGTCAAGGCAACTAAGTGGTACAATGGGCCTAAAGTCAGGAAGATCTGAATTCAAATCAAGCCTCTGATACTTACTACCTGTGTGACCCTGGATAAATCACTTAAATTACCATTTGCCTCAGTTTCCTCAGTTGTAAAATAGGGTTAATGATAACGCCTATTTCCCAGGGTAGTTGTGTGGATAAAATGAGATAATATTTGTAAAGTGCTTAGCATAGTAATTGGTACATAATAGGCCAGTTTTCTTCCTTCCTACTAAACCATAATAGGCTGTTTGCTTCCTCCCTACTAAGTAAAATATCCAGTATAAAGAAAAAGCTTGCAATTGGTCAAGATAACCACATGGGATCTTTTTTAGGAAACAATGAGCAGAGATTCTAATTGTAATTTTTAAAGTCATGTCATTGAATTATTCAGATGATTGTGGGAGAAAACTACAAAGTTATGGAGAAAATATTATTGTTTAATAAAAGTAGCACATAATCTATTAGTGAAATAAAAATATCTAATTCCAAATTTGCTACCATTACTAATTTTGGGTGACAATAAATACTATTTGTGTATATATTATATATATTTATGTAAATAATAAATATTTTATATTTCTCCCCCACAAAATAGTTCAAAAGGTAGAACTCACAGCAAAAATGTCACAATTTAAGGTGTAATTCACACTTGTTCTCTCTGTCTCTTTCTCTCTCTCTCTCTCTCTCCATACATACACACACACACAAGTTGTGGTATATGATTGTGATGGAATACTATTGTGCTATAAGAAATGACAAGCTGGATGCATTTAGAAAAACCTTGAAAGACTTACATGAGCTGATGCAAAGTGAAGTGAACAGAACCAGGAAAACATTGTATACAGTAACAGCAGTATTGTATAATGATCAACTGTGAATGACTTAGCTATTCTTTTTTTTTTTAATGAGGCAATTGGGGTTAAGTGACTTGCCCAGGGTCACACAGTTAGTAAGTATCAAGTGTCTGGTCTGAGACCAGATTTGAACTCAGGTCCTCCTGACTCTAGGGCCAGTGCTCTATCCACTGCGCCACCTAGCTGTCCCATGACTTAGCTATTCTAAGCAATACAATGATCCAAGACAATTCCAAAGGATATGTGATGAAAAATGCTGTCCACTTCCAGAGAAAGCACTCATCGAGTCTGAATGTAGATCAAAGTATGCTTTAAAAACAAAAAAAGCTATCTTTCTTGGGTTTTTTTGTTCTGTGTTTTCTTTCACAACATAACTAATATGGAAATATGTTTCACATGACTGCACATGTATAACCTATATCAAATTGCTTACCTTCTCAATGAGGGGGGAAGGGAAAGAGGGAAAGAGAGAATTTGGAACTCAAAATTTTAGAAAAAGAATGTTAAAAATTTTACATGTAATTGGAAAAAAATAAAATATTTTAAAAAAAGAAGATAATTGACAGAGTGGGGATGTCAGAGGGGGCAATCTGTTGGAGGAGATAGGATGTAATGGGTTAGCTTGTGAAGGTAGAATGGTTTCCTTGGTCTCTGCCATCTCTTTGGACTACCTCTTCATGTGTAATGGTTTTTCCCTGCCTTCTCAATTGGTGGGAGAGGGAGAGGAAGGAGGGAGAGAGCTCAGAACTGAAAATAAAATTGAGTTAAGAAAAGAGCCAAACAGGTTTATGTTTGATCTCAGAGGCAATAGAGTCATTGGAGTTTATTGAGTAAGGGAATGAAATTGTCAAGATCTAAGGAAAATGACTTCAGCAGCCGAGTGGAGAATACATTGAAATATAAAGAGACTTGAGCCAGGGAGACCAATAAGGAGACTGTTTCCATAGCCTAGGCTTTTTGTTCAGTTCTTTTCAAAACTGTCTGCCTCTTCATGGCGCCATTTGGGATTTTCTTGACAAAGATACCAGAGTGGTTTACCATTTCCTTCTCCAGCTCATTTTATGGATGAGGAAACTGAAGCAAATGGGGTGAAGTAACTTACCCAGGGTCACTCAGCTAGTAAGTGTCTGAGCTCAGATTTGAACTCAGGAAGAGGAGTCTTCCCGATTCCAGGCCCCAGGCACTTTATGCAGTATTGTGCTACCTAGCTGCCTAGCCTAGGCTAGAGGTGGTAAACTAAGATGGTGGCTACCTGGCCCCAGAGGGTCCAACTACAGTAGGAGCAAATGGTAGGAATGACAAAGCAAATTTCAGCTCCACCTAAGGAAAAATCTAACGATTATAGCTATGCACAATTGGTTTTGCTTAACCATTTTTCTTCCTTTACAAGGGAAGGTTCAATTCCAGGGGCAAGCAGGTGGGCGTATATTCAGAACTGAGAGAGATGTAAAAACAAAATCCATCAATATCAACAAAAGTTACTTTCAAAACAAAACAAAAACAACGATAGCTATCCAGAAGTGAAACGGGTGTCCTTGGGAGCTGGTGACTTTCACATTACAGGTGGTCTTCAAACAGAGGCTGGGGATGCCACTTGTCAGGGATGCTGTAGAGGCCCAGGTAGGATGATATGCTCTCTGAGAGTTCTTCCAGCTTTAAGATTCTGTGAAGTTATAGGGAAGTTGATTGTAGTTCAATACAAGGAATGTCTTCCTACTAATCAGAAATGTTTCCCCTTCCTGAAATCTCTTCATCCTTATGTTTCATTTAGAAGAAGCAGAGAGAAATAATTGGGCCTTGAAGTCAGGAGGATCTGCGTTCAGGTCCTGCCCCTGAGACACACTGGTTGTGTGGTACTGGGCAAGTCACTTAATCCCTTGGTAAGTAAATCGCTTAAGTTTTAGTGAAAGTGCTGAGCTACATTGGTAGAGTGAGTTTCCTATACTGAGAAAGCACAAGTCCTATCAACATTCCTGTGCTTTGGACTTACTTAGGATCTCACAGAGTTGAAAAGGACATCAGAAGTCTCCTAGTTCAATCCCTTCATTTTATTTTTTTCCACTAAAATTTTTTGTCCTTGCGAAAGTTATTCCAAATAATGTAATTTTAAATAAATTAATATTTTCCCCATGCAGCTTTACTGAATATAGTATTAGATTTTTATGAATCAAACTACAAATAACTTGAAAATACTTTACTCAAATTACGATTAAACTCACTTGTAAATTATTTAAATATTAATTACAAAACCTACCCTGCTATGGGGGCATTTTCTTCAGCTCTAAATATAACTTCTTCTGCGTGTGACAAAGAAAATTCAATTCAGTTCAATAAGCATTTATTAAGTGCCTACTATGTGCCAGGCACTAAAATAAAGATGAAAATAGCAGTTTAGAAAACTATTTGCAACCTGACCTGGATGTAGTGTCAGAAAAGCGCTATTTGTTGGCAATACTTTACCTATTTCATTCGCCTGTAGTTAAGAATTTCTGCAAAAAGAATTTTTTTCTCCATTTCTAAAATGCTTATTGTCAAGATCATGCTAATTTGTATTTCCTTACAAGTTTCAAAAGTATCAAGCAAGAAAAACTGTGGTACAATTTTTAGCTATGTGACCCTCTCCCCAGAGTTTGTGGCCTTAATGACTTTTCATTCATTTCAACCATGCGGATATGCAAAGCAGCATCTTTCTCTATGGGAAGCTAGGTGGCGCCATAGTGCATAGAGCGCTGAGCCTTGACTCAGTCCCCCCCAGTTACTAAAGCTACCTTTGAGGCTGTCTCATCTCTGCTTTGTGTATCTTGTACATCTCTTATTCATATGTTGTCCTTCCGTGCCATTAGAATGTAAGCTCCTTGAAAGCATGCGCTGGGGTTTTGTGTGTGTGTGTTTTTCTTTTTTTTGTAATTCCAGAGCTTAGGATAGCACCTGGTCCATGAATAAATGCTTGCTGACTAATAAGTCATAACAAGAAAAATAACAGCAATAATAATAATAATAATCGGCTCCTAGCACATATGGTCTTGGAAAAAAAGTGGCCCCTTCATGAACGAGTGTTGAATGGAATGGAACGGGATGCCTTAATAAGTAGTAAGCTCCCCATCCCTGGAGGTGTTCAAACGGAGGCCAGATGACTTTCCGCTGCAAAAGAGTAGAACGTACACGTCCAGCGCACAGGACACCACGACGAGTTAGGTCGCCACGCACTAGAGGGACTCCACCCCACCCTCCTCCCCTCCCTCACCAGCCCCGTGACAGCCTTCTAGAAAGGCCACGCCCCCATCACGAGAGCGGAGGGCCGCCCGAGGGGGCGGGGATTCGGATGGGGCGCGCTAGGGCTCCTGGGGGCTGTAGTCCTGTTCGGCCACTCCTGTAGTCCGCGTCTGGTCCCGCGGAACTACGACTCCCGTCGTGCCCCACGGCCTCGGAGAAGAGAGCTGGGTGGGGGGAGGAGAAGGAGAGGAGGCAGCCGGCGAGCGTTCAGCCTGTTGCTAAGCCTCGAAGGAACCTACGTGCTCGGGCTGCGCTCAGGTAAGGTCGAGGAAAACATCTGTCCGGCGGGCGGTAGCGGGGTGTAGATTCCCTGCGGTCGCGAGGCTGGGCTCCGGGAACGGGTCACGCCCCCTCTTCCTTCAGACGCGGCCCCTGCTGGGCCTGGGCCTGGGTCCCGGCCTGGAGGGTCCTGGGGAGGGGCTAAGGGAGGAGGAGAGGGGAAAAGGGAGAGGGAGAAGGAGGAAGGAAGGAAGGAAGGAAGGGGAGGGTCAGAGATGGAAAGGAAGAAGGGGAGGGAAAGAAAAAAGAGAGGAGAGAAAAAGGGAGGAGAAGGGAGGGGAGGGGAAAAGAGAGGGAAAAGGGACCAGGGAGGGGGGAGGAGGGGATGGCTCAGGGATGGAGAGGGGGAGGCGATAGAAAGCGGGAAGCCCCTTCAGGAAGGCAGGCTGGCCCTGGGGGCACACACGTGGTTGGGGGGCTGGGCTCACGGGGGATTCTCTCTAGTTGAGAGGAAGGCGTTCTCCCGGGGGAACCACCTGAGGAAGCATCTGAGGGGGGGGGCATTGTATTTTTCCTTCTTTATGTCTCTGAAAAATCTCTCTCTTCCCTTGGCCGAGCCCTTCCTTTTTCTCCTCTTTGCTCATATTCAGCCCCCTCTCCCTATGACAACAGCATGTGAGCTACTCTGGTGTAGGAATTCCTGTTCAGGTACTGGTTGGACTAAATTATTTTTGAAAAGTACCTTCGTGCTCTGAGATGCTCTTATCTCCCGTGGGAGGCATGAATGAATGAAAGGAAAGACATTTACAAAGCTTATTACATGCTAGACAATCAGTCAAGCCTGTATGTGCTAAGCTGTCACTGTGCCAAGCACTAGAGATACAAAGAAAAGACACAAGCAGTGCCTGCCCTAAAGAAGCCTACATTCTAATGGTAGTGGTTGTTGTGCAGTTGTTTCAGTCTCTTCCTGACCTCATTTGGGGTTCTCTTGGCAAAGATACTAGAGTGGTTTGCCATTTCCTTCTCTGTCTCATTTTACAGATGAGGGAACTGAGGCAAACAGGGTGAAATGACTTGCCCAGGGTCACACACCTAGTATGCATCTGAGGTCGGATTTGAACTAAGGTGTTCCTTATTCCAGGGCCTGCCCTCTATCCGCTCTACCTGCTCCATGGTAGAGAGAGCTCGTGTATAATTAGATACAGACAGTTGTTTTTATCTAAGTAGACCATGCTGCAGGTGGTCTATGTAAAGTGATTTTTAAGTAATTTGAATTTGCCAGCAGACAGTGGGAATGGGAGGGAGAGAGAGGGAGGAAGGGGGTCTAGCCCCCTTACCCAGAGGTCTCAAGCCAAGCCCCTGAAGCAGCTGTGGTCTCTCCTGTGTAGGTTCTTCTGCTTTCACTTGGAGGGGTTTTTTTTCTTTTTTGGTGGGGGTGGTGAGAGGCCACAGAGCACCAAGGTGGGGTGTGGGGGGCAGGGGGAGACCCAGTACTATGCAGTAAAGTTAATGTAGGTGGGGTTTTTTTTTTTGTTGGTTTTTTTTTTTTAGAATGCAGAATTTTTTACTTAAAAGCCAAATCTGTGTAATGCAAATTTAGGTAAAGTGGGTGCTAAACATACAAAGTTCCAGAAAGGTCCCAGACACATAAAAGGTTATGAATCTCTGGCCTAGAGAAAGGACTTTAGGACATTGGGTAGGTCCCTTCTGGGAGCTTGTGGGCAGGAATCCCAGGATGGCTAGGTGTGTGTGGATGGTTTGGGGTCTGTACTCATGGAAGGAAAACTGCATTGATTAAATAAATAAATAAATAAATATGTCATTCTCACCTCCATCCTCCCCATTCCCCTGTTAACTGTAGGCTTTATGAGGGCAGAGGCTGGGACTTTACTTTGTCTCTCCTTCTGCTTAGTACTCACTGTAGTGTATTTGCTTAATTGGTGTTTGTCAAGTAAGGTAGAGTTAACAACAGTGAAATAGAACCTTTCATTTGCATCAGTAGGTAGTGAGTTCCCTGTCACTGGTGATCTCCCTGTGGAGGCTGAATGATTGCTTCTGCTCCATGGTTGTAGAGGACATTTCTGCTGTGGAGTGGGAGATAGGATCATTGGCACTTTAAAGGATTTCTAGGCCCAGCCCCTCATTTACAGAAGAAAAACAGGCCCCTGGAGGTTAAGGAACTGGCCTGCCTTTAGGTTACTCAGGTAGTTAAGTCTTAGAAATGGGATTTGTTTTGAAAAGCCGTTAAGGATGTGGATCTGATTTCCAAGTCAGTGATTTTAAGCCTGTACCATTGAAGCAGGAAGAGACTTTAAGTTACTAGGTTAACCCCTTTATTTAAATGAGGCCCAGGGAGGCTAAGTTAATTTGCCTGCACTCACATAGGCCCTAAGTGGCCATGCCAGGACTCCTACCCTCTCTCTTTCCACTTTATGGCTGCCTCAAACTAAATGACTTGCCCACGACCTCACTTCCCTCACGTGTCCGAGTTGCTAACCAGTGATTAGGGTTGCTGGTTGATGAAATTAAGCAAAACTAAGTAGCCTGCATGGTGTGAGGCCATCTAGTTTCAAAAGGAACAGCGCCCCGTAACAGAGCCAGCTGGAAAATCCAGGAGTATGGAAACATACAGATGTGGGTGTGCAGTGACAGCTATGCTGGTGAGCAGGGGAATTGGTGCAATGGGCAGGTTAGTGAGGTGGTGACAGACACAAGTATTTGGGTCAGTAGGCTGTTTTCTAACCAAGTTTGACCTAATTAGAACACAAGTTTAGAGTGTGAAGTTTGACTGCATTCTTTTGACTTGTCTCTCTCTAGAACTACAGTTATGTTCCTAGTTAGTATATTGGCCAGTATCCCCCTGACACAGGACACACAGGGGGACTTTGCTGCTGCCACCTGAAGGTGAGTTTTCTCAGGCAGTGTGGCATGATGGAAAGTCAGAACTGGGAGTCAGATCAGGGTTCTTCAGACTATTCCTTGGGCAGCCAAGAGGAGGGAGCAAAGCAAGTGGGAAGGCTTTATTTGTCAGAACAAAGATGCCAATTACTTTCACCTGGGAACCTGAAAGGGGAGGGGGGAAGGGGAGCACCACCCCCCCCACCCCCCATTTTTCACTTATTTGCAGGAAACAGATGAGGAGACCACTGTGGGTCTGTCATAATGTTTGTTTATTTATTTTTTTGAACTTGGGGGAAGATGTTAACATTCTGCTAGAGACAAATAAGGGTGTTTTTGTGTTTTGAGTTGGAGACAGTGGCTGCTTTCATGGAGCCTAGGCCCGATTTTGTGTACCAGGGGAATCATGTGGTAGGGAATAGATGGTATTTCATCTTCTCCTATCAGTTAGAGAGAAACTTGGATTTCAGACCAAGCCCTGTGCCCTGCACAAGTAGCAATAGCTAATTTGATCGTTTCTATTGCTGTGGAGGCAGTGTGGAAGGGTGGGGAGAGGGCTGGAGTGAGGCAGACCTGGCTTAGACATTTAGCAGTCTGATCCTTGGGCTAACATTTCTGTGATGCTTTAAGGCTTGCAAAGTGCTTTGCATATTTTATTACATTTGATCCCTGCGACCACCCTGTTATTATCCCCATTTTATTTATTTATTTATTTTGCTTTTTGGCTAGGCAATGGGGTTAAGTGACTTGCCCAGGGTCACACAGCTGGTAAGTGTTACGTATCTGAGGCCAGATTTGAATGTGGGTACTCCTGAATCCAAGGCTGGAGCTCTATCCGCTGTGCCACCTAACTGCCCCTATTATCCCCATTTTACAAATGCAGAAACTGAGGCTAGTGAAGGACTGAGATGGGATTCAAACTCAGGTCTTTCTGACTGAATCCAGCATCCTGTCCACTTTACCTCCCAGCCACCTGGAATGAATAAATCAATCATGCCTTTCTAGCATTTCCAGTAGCTTGCAAAGTTATGGAAGTGATACACCCCAATGTGGGGGTTTTCAGCCTAGAGCTAGGCATTACAACAAGGCCTTTCCAGACCTAATAGGGGAGAATCAGAAGCACTTAGCTGAGTTCATGTCTTAATTTCCAACATCTTTCCAAGTAGTTAGAGGCAGTAGAAACACTCTTCATTTCTAACACCGATTGGAAAAGGTAGATTTTGACTCAATATCTTCCTAAAAATTAAGACGCTCTCTGTAACAGAATGAACCAGTTTGTTAGATGTGGGGAAGTGTCGAAGTGCTGAAGCTGAATATTGGCCTAGTCTCGTAACCTTTGCACACCTTGATTTTCTCCTCTCTTAAATGAAAGGATTGGATGATACAATCTTCAGGCTCCCCGACTGTGATCCTGTGGTCCTTCTAAGTTCTTTTCACTGAGGTTTTGTTTTGTTTAGTTTTGTTTTAAAATCTTAATATTTTTATTTATACTTTTTTTTTTTTTTTGCAGCAGCTGGTGGTTAGCTCCGTGGAGAGAGCACCGGGTCTGGAGTTAGGAAGACTTGAGTTCAAATCCAGCCTCAATCACTTATTAACTGTGTGACCCTGGGGAAGTCACTTAACGTCTTACCTACTACCTTCCTTCCTAGTCTATAAAACCCAACTGAAAAGCTCCCCCTCTTAGCCTGTCAAGTCAGTGAGATTGTTTTCCCTTATTAACTTGGGTGTTTTCCCTCTATTAATGATTTCCTATTTATCCTGTCCATAGCTTGCTTTGTTTTTATTTGTTTTCATGTTGGGCACACCCCTTCCTCCATTAAATTGTAAGCTCCTTGAGTGAAGGGACTGCCTTTTGCCTCTTTGTATCCTCAGCACTTGGCACAGTGTATGGCACGTGGGTAGGTACTTAATTAATGTTTATTGAATTGAATTGGACCTCACATAGCACCTTTCAAGTCTAATGCACTTATCATATAGTGTCGTGTCGTCTAGCTCTCTGTGAGAGGCAGCATGGTATAGTGGATGGAGTTGGGATCTGGGTCAGCAAGACCTGAGTTGAAGTCTTACCCACATACTGGCTGTGTGTGATCCTTCACTTCTCAGGACCCCCGCCCCCCCACCCCAGCAATAACTGTTCTGTAGTTTATAGCCTTAGAAAGTTGCTTGGGGGGGTGGGGGGGTGGGAAGGACCCTGTGGCAGGCAGGCACAGGGCTCTTTGACCAGGAGCCTGTGATACCACTGAAGTCAGAGATTAAACCTGTTCAGACCAAAAAGAGGTTTGTGTCTTATTCCTGTGTTGGACTCTGTAGTCTATTAGGGCAGATAGCCTGCCTCATCTAATTTCAGTTTCTCCCCCATGGTGCAGCACAGTCTAATCATTTAAATAAATGAATTGAGTAAGAGCTCAAATCTATTTTCTTATATTTTTTTTAGGCAACTGGGGTTAAGTGACTTGCTCAGGGTCACACAGCTAGTGTCAAGTGTTTGGTCTGAGGCCAGATTTGAACTCAGGTCCTCCTGACTCCAGGGCCAGTGCTCTATCCACTGCGCCACCTGGCTGCCCCCATAAGAGCTCAAATCTAGTGATTTAAGATCTACAAATTAATAAATGAATTAATTTTGGGAACTAGTACTTGGTATAGCTGCACTAGGAAGAGAGATAAGGGTCTTGCTGGGGCCCACGCATGAGTAATTGCTAGGCACAGTGTCTTTAGGCTGGGGAGAAATTGTCACAGACGGTGTTTCTGAGACTAGGGAGAAGTTGGGGTCCAAGCACAAACACCCCATCAACTTGAAGTCTCTTTTTTCTCTTTTTCTTTTTTTGCCTTTTTTTTGGTGAGACAGTCGGGGTTAAGTGACTTGCCCACGGTCACACAGCTCGTAATTGTCAAGTGTCTGAGGTCGGATTTGAACTCAGGTTCTCCTGACTCCAAGGCTTTGGAGCTTTATCCACTGGGACACCTAGCTGCCCCTTGAGGCCTCCTTTCTCGTAAGGAATTACAGCATTTCAGAGGTGGAAGGGCCTTTAGAGGGCACTTCCTGGAAGAGAATCCCCTCTACTCTGTCCCTGCATAACCTAAGAGGTTCTTCAGCCTTGTTGGATCACTCCCAACCAGAGGGCACGCGCTACCTCTCATTGCTGCCTGTTGCTCTTTTCTCTAATTAGGAAGGAATTAGATATTAGGAGAATTTTCTTGACATCCAACTTAATTTTGCTTCTTTGTAACTTTCATCCATAACTCCCCATTCTGCCCTTTGGCCCCAGGCTGGACAAGTCTGAGTGATCTCACATTCGCAGGACAGGATTTGAGATGCTTGGAGGCAGCTGTTGTATTCTCCCTGAATTTTCTTTAGTTCATTCTAAACCTCCTTTGTTGCTTCAAGCACTTCTTATGTGGTGTGGATGCAGACCCCTTCTCCATCCTTGCTGCTCTTCTCCGGACACAATCCAGCTTATCAGCCCCACCCCAGGTGGTACCCAGAGCCACATGTGGTCTGACCAATGCATAGCATAGAGGAAGTGCCACCTGGCTTCTCTGGCTGCCGGGCCACATAGACGACTCACGTTGCACTTTGCCAATGCCCCAGACCTCCAGGTCTTTGTCCAGTAAACTGCTCTGTTACCCAAAATGCCATGTAGTCAGGCTTCTGGAGGCCACGTGTGAGGCTTTATGTTTGCCCCTGTGAAATTGGATGTTATTTAATCTGGCTTCACGTTTTTAGTTTGCCCAGGTCATCTTAGATCTTGTCTTGGTCATCAGGTAGGTCCCCTACCTGACACCTCTGTTGTCAGCAGACTTGACATATTTGTCACCTTACCTCTAGTGGGGGTTCTTCACCTTTTGGGTGTCCTGGGCCCCTTTGGCAGTCAGCCTGGTGAGCCTAAGGATGCTTTAGAAAATAAGACTTATAAAAGAGAGAGAATTATGAAGGAAACCAATTCTATTGAAATAGTTATCAAAAACATTTTTTTAAAGCATGGACCGTAGGTGAAGAACCCCAGAAAATCACTAATAAAAATGTTAAATACTTAGGCACAAACACAGATCCCTGGTGCCCTGCCAGCATTCTTTGAAGTTGACAAGAAGCCATTAATGATTTTTCTTTGGATATATGTAGCCAGTCAGTTTAGAATCCTTCTCACTGTACTGTCTCATTGAGATTATATCTCTCCATCTTGTTCACAAGGACATCACAAGAGACTTTTGTCATATGGTTTGCTTAAGTCTCAACCATATACCAGCATTCCCCTGAGCTACCAGTTTAGTGCCCCTATCAAAAAAGGAAATAGAGTTAGCTGAGCATGACCTGTCTTAGTGGAGCCCTGCTGACTCTTTTCAATCCTTGCTTCCTTTTTTTATTTTTAGATGGTATGTTTGCCAACTCTCTCTCTAATAAGACCTTAGAATTTTGCCAGGAATCATGCTTAAGATTGCTGGCCTCTGGTTTACATTTCCATTCTCTTATCTTTTTTTGAAAATTGTGCCCCTCTCCAGCCCAGTGGATGTCCCTGTTCTCTTCATGTTTCGGAGATCACTGGCTCTGGTTCAGCCATCACACCCGCCAGTTCTTTCAGGGTTCAGGGATGCAGTTTATCTAGGGCTGGCCGATTGAACTCAATGCAGGCAGCTTCGGGGGCTGTCTTAGGACCTTCTTGACTCCCTATTAGTCACTTTGATTCTGCCCTTTCTAGTCCAGAGTTTATTCTCATTGGCAGAGAAACCAGATCCAAATCAGAATTGAGCATCCTTGCCTTCTCTT